TAAGGTAGATAAACATATTAAAGATTCTATCTTGTGATTGTTGATTGAGCTTGCATTGGATTTTGAGGCATTACGTTGTTCGACATCAAATGAGAATATAATGAATTTTTTTAAATCATGATATATTATTTTATTTATTATGTATCAACTATTTTTACTACCATCACCATCACTACCAATCACCATTCCACCTTTATTGGTGGTAGTGATAAAACATTTCAAAAAAATATTATTGATATTATTATTCTACCACCACTCCTTTTTAATTACCACAATTACTTGTCATTATACTAGTACCACCACCTCCATTGATGATAGTTATCAATAAAGTTATTATTATTATTATTATTATTATTCTATCACCACTATCATTTTTATTATACCAACACCTCGCAACATTATTGTTGCGTTTATTGAGGTAGTAGAACATATTGAGAATTCTATCTTGTGATTTTTGATTGAGCTTACGTAAAATTTTGAGGCATTGCATTACTCCAACATCAAATGAAAATGAATTCCTTTTTTTTTTTTTTAAATGATATATTATTTTTATTTGTTGTCTATCAGCTACTTCTACCACCATCATTACTTCTATCACCATCACTATCTATCACCACCCACCTTTATTGATAGTAATGATAAAAAAAAAACCCTATTATTATTATTATTATTCTACTAGCACTCCTCCTCAATTACCACCACTACTATTATCATACTAGTACCACCACTACGATTGATACAATAGTGATAAATAAAATTATTATTATTATTATTATTATTTCGTTACCACTCCATCTTCACCACCACCATCCTTTTTATCATATTACCATCATCACCACCACTCTTCTTCCATTGCAACTCTCTTATGATGATGATATTAATTTTTTTAAAATATATTATTGTCGTTACTATACTCGTTATTAATATCAAATCTTCTTACTCTACCACCACGACCATTACCATCACCACAATCTCCTCTATCATGGCTCGCTATAATCATAATTGATGAAATTATTTTTATAATTGTTATTCTCATTTGTATTAAAAATCAAATATTAAAAAAATTAACTTTCATTTTGATTCTTTATTATTGTTCTAAACACGGTATGAAAATACAAATATCATTTCAGTTTCTTACTTTTCATTTCAATTCTTGCATTTTCATTCCAAACTTTTTGTTTTGGTAACAAAACAACACATAATTGTAATTATTAATAGTTACTTTATATGAGAGATATAGACACAACCAAAAGAGAGAAATATGAGAGATAATTTTAAAAATATATTTATATTTTACATTAGATAGTGGTATTCTTCTTCTTCTTATTTTTTTATTCCAATGTTATTTTCTCTTTTATCCGTATATATGTCTCTATTTTCAAAATGAGTTTATAAAATAACTATTCGTGTTTACTTTTGAAATATTCTAAAAGAAATTGATGATGAAAAAATAGAGATAGAGGTTAACTAGTTATAGATGACGAGTGTTGATGAAAGTAAGCAATTGGGATTTTTCTCCTCTTTATATTTTATTTACTTAATTATTGTATGTGACAACATTAGCTTCATTTAAAATAATGGATTAATAATCTAGGATCTCCCCTCTATTAGTTGGGTTGTCTTAACCGTATCTTCTTATTAATTTTCTCATTAATTGCATCTCTTTACTTTAATTGGCATCTTAATTTCGTCCCTCCATCCAAATTTTCAAGTAACAATGTCATTTTTGACGATAGACATATATGATGTTGACATGTGGTAATTTTTTTTTGAAAAAAATTAAATTTCTGAAAAAATAAAAAAATCTCAAAATGTCTTTCTTTTTCTCTACCTTTTGCTTATGTTCTTATGTTATGAAAAAAATTTCATAAAAAAATTTCTTTGGGTTTGGATTCGAAATAAATTTTCATAATAAATTTCTGAAAAAAAAATTGTTCCTTCTTATACATAAAAAAATATTTTTTGGTTTGGATTCGAGAGAAAAAAAAAATATATATATATATATAAAATTGAGAGTTGAAATTACTCATTTATTTTCTATACATAAAGGCAGAGAAAAAGAAGGACATTTTGTGATTTTTTATTTTTTAAAAACTTTAAATTTTTTTAAAAATTAAAAAAATTATCATGTGTTAGCATCATGTATTTCTCGCCATTGAAAATTAGCACTCGTTACTTGAAAATTTGAACGAAAAGACGAAATTAAGACACAAATAAAAGTAAAGGAACGAAATTAATAAAAAAATTTAATAGATAGATATGATTAAAACAAACAAAACAGATCTTGTACCATTAAACCTTAAAATAATTGTCAAATCTTAGCCAATTGGAAGTCAGATATAGAATTTTGATTTCAATAGCAGGTTTGTAGTAAATTAAACAAATAAGAGTAAAACTGTAAAAACAAAATGTTTATTGAAAAATAAGAGTAATAGTGAAATAACCGTCTAAAAGAATTGCTTTTTTATCATTAATATTAAAACTAACATCCATGTCAATAAGATGACAGTCAACTGTTAAAACCAGTGAACGGATTCAGGAATAAGTTTTAAAAAGAAGTGACTACATTATAACTGTAATCAAAATAGGAACTCATGACAAATCCACCCTAATATTTTATTTTATTTTATTTTTTTCTTTTTTAAATTCAGAATACCCTAATAGTTATTAAAAATTCACATATTTAACCGTGGAATTTCTAGAGTGTATTATGTATACAGGGAAATATTCTTACCCAATTAAATAATTGTAAAAAAAGCATAGAGACATACTTAATATAAAATTAAGATATTTTATAAGAAAAATATATTAGATCCTCGCTATAAATGGAAAGAATAAATAGAAAGAAAAACAAATCTTACACCCGTGTTGAAGGGGCAGGTGGAGGGGGAATGATTTGGCGGGGCCGCCAACATGTGGAAGTCTCATGTGAAGATGTTTTTTCGATTGCAAAGTGTCTTTCCATGTAACAGGTCTCCAATTTCGATGAACCTGCCGACAAAAGCAACGCACAACCTAAGCTTAAAATCCAAATCCAAATAATAATAATAAATAAATAAAATTAAGAGAACATTGTTGAAATTAGGCAAATAATCTGATTTATCAATTCTTTCAGCATCATAGCCAGTTTCATCATGATCTGTCAAGATTCTTTGATCCTAGGTTGATATAATGAGAATTCCAAAAAGAAAAAAAAATTGATTTACAATATAATATGTAGTGTAGGAATTTATGTATAATGCTTTTGAATATTTTCTTTGTTTTGATTAAAAGAAACAAATAAATCTAAATTTTTCCCCATGTATAGACTTATTAAATAGCTCCAATGTTTTGCCCTATTTCTATAATTTAATATTTTCAAATGTCATAATTCTAGCTTTCAGAAAGTTTCCACTTCTTAAATTTATTGATTAACAAGCTTGTTTATTTGATACTTAATTTTACTCTAGCTTTGACCCAAATAGTTTTTCCGTGTAAAAACACAAAATAAAAATATTAAGATCACCATCTATAAATGGAGTTATTCTTCAACGACGTTATATTATAGACTTTTCAGCATCAAGTGGTAAATACAGGATAATGGCTGTGAAGCTTGTAGCTTAATGGACATTTATACCTTTTTGATCTCAATTAGTATCTTCTTTGCAACAAAAAATGAATAAATAAATTGTTTTTTTTTCTTTTCAAGGGAAAATGAACAAATATGGATCTTAACTTACATTTGATCTAGAAATACAATCTAAAGAATGCTCTTCTGTTATTTTTTTCTGAGTATTTTTATTTTTATTTTTTGATAAATAATAATAAAGAATGTAATTCTTGATTTTGCACAAAGAATTAAGTGAAAATTTGTAGAATTGGGAGAGATTAGAGTACTATCGTTATGATGCTTGTTCTGACGCATTTATGATGGCCAACTTAAACATCAAACTTTTGATGACAAAACGTCAGAGCCCTAGTCTGCTGTCTCCCTCCATTTACTGCTTACTTCTTGCATGGTGCTATCACTTTCAAGTTGGAGCAAAATCCACAAAAATAAATAAATAAAAAATAAAAATAAAGTTATATTCAGCTGGAACGCATAATAATGCATATATCCCCGTCGTTCATTGTCACAAACTGGAATTGGCAATGCGTCCCTAACACGTTCCAATGTTTGCAATACCAAATGACTTGATTATATTCTAATAATATCGTAAAAATCTTTCATTTATCCCCATCTAAAAATTAATGGGACGACTATTTTAATTTGTTAATTCCTTAAGTTTACAAGCACATGTGCATCATAAATTTGGCCATATATCATCCCTCAAAGTTGCATTCTTAAAAATTTAAGTGATATTTTCAACAATTTGATGACGGACAGTTAGTAGATTTCTCCAAGGACATGTTTAGATAGAAGGATTTATTTAGTCCATGAAGGGAATTTATGATTCAAAGCGTACATTCCAACAACAAATCGTAATCAATTTATTAGTCTCTTAAAGAAGATTAAATCTACTTTTGGAAAATCATCGACACTAAAAGAGGGGAAAAGGAAAGATTGAGATTTCACTTTCGTTACAATTGACTATACTATATTGCCATTGATAACTGATCAAATACAAACAAGGCAACAATGAACTCAGAGCTTTCATACTTGCTCAAGCAAAGATGAAGTGTCTTTTTTCCACAAGAATTTTCAAAACTTACGTACTTCTAGTTTTACTATTTGTAATTTCATCCCTGGCGCCCGTGATCAAACAGCTGCCTCTGGACATATCATGCACACACTCTTGCAGTAAAAATGAATCTAAATTACAACTGCAAAAACTCACAATGATAGGAAAGTGGAATTAGGGGCAATTCACAACAAATATTGACCCAAGGTTGACCATACATATCTACTCTTTCAATGTATTGTCTGTCTTGCAACAAACGTACGTACGTAGTATTAGTTCTTTAAAATAATCCATAATGTTGCCATCCTGTTGCTTGCTAAAAGATGGGGATAATAATTGCTAGTGCCTAAACTGCCCTCCACTGTATGTCTGCCCAAAGGACCAACCAGCAGGGGCGACGTTGTAAGAAACCACACTGCGACCATCACTTGTCGTAACTACAAAAGAGAGACTTTGTCCATTAAGGTAAGAGTTACTCTGCCAATTTTGGCCCCAGTTTCTTGACATTGCTTGCCATTTAGTTCTTGAACCTTTGATGGCCACTGAATGCACATCACCAGCACCCCCAACATTGGTGATCAGGACTAAATTGAAGTATGAATGACCATTGATGGTGAACCTAATGCCTCCACTCCTCCTGCATCTTACCCTATAATGAAAGGTAATCTCATCGATTAGTTAAGGTAAGAAATTATGGACAAATTAAAATAAATAAAGGAAATGGAGACATATAATATAAAAGTGCTAATTAATTACTTTACCTACCTTCTGTAACTTACTGGGACGATTCCAGCTCTGTATTGCGCAATGTGTTGGAAGACAGGTTGAGAGAGATCAAAATGCTGGTTGGGAGGATCACACCAGCCTCCAGGAGGGCAAACGTTAGTGGCAGTGACTACAATAACGCCAGGCAGGCACCACTGTGGATCATTCACGCATCTGATCTCAAAGCAAGCCCCACAGCTCAAACCATTTTCGAACAATGCAGTGCTCAGTGCTGCTGTGTTAGTTCCATAACCCTGGCTGTACAGGTTTCCATAACCACAAGCCCCACCTTAAAACACAACAAAGCTAAGGTTAGCTTAGCTGGCAAGGACAATAGGGTAAGAAGATTACGCATGATATCAATTGCATGTACATGATTTTCTTTTTAAAATAAACAAATAAGCATCTAAATGTGTCACATATACCCATTGTCCCTGAAGCATCGCCACCTCCATAGAAAGTGGCATGAGCATTAATCCAACCTCCATAATATCCATGAACAGATGAGACAAAGGAGAGAAAAAGAAACCCAAAAAGAGCCATTTTCCTGCACAAAATGATATGAACCCCTTAGGCAAATTGTCACATTGTGCCTACTTACAAATTAATAAAAGTGTAATGCATTATTTGAAAACAAAAGCCAGTTAGTAAAGAAAACAAAAGGAAAAAGGAAACAGATAGTGTTACTAGAAAATGTGATGAACCTTCGAAGAATTTTCTTTAAGGGAAATGAAGAGTGGAGGAGAGGCTTGAGGGGAATAAATAGAAGTCAGTCAACATCAACCTGAGTGAAAAACCTGGCTAGCTTTCAGCTATTGGGACCATACAACTGTTAAGTGGTTTTTTAGTTACTCAATTTGTGGAAACATTGTAGACTTTGGTTTTAAAGGTCGAAAAGTGGTTTTTTAGGTTCAAACTTCAAACCGTGTGGTTTTGAAGCTGTCCATTATGGAACTGCCAAATGCCAATAACTCAGGGTTGTACAAGGTGAATTTAGTGAATTGCGCTTTAATTGCTAAGGCTTGCAGATCTCTCTCTCTCTCTCTCTCTTTTTCTTTTTTTCTTTTTTTAAAAAACCGTTTAATCTATTCATGCAAGTATTTTTAATTTGTTTGGAAAGAAGGTGAATAAAGGGAAGAAAAGAATGGAAGAAAACAAATTAGTTAACCTTATTTAGAAAAACTTTTAAATTGGAGGGAAAATAGAACTTTTTTAACCTCCAGTCCCCTTCTTTTCATTAAAATATATCCTCCGTAAATTGGGGCTAATCGAAGAGAAGAGAATACTTAAAAAGAAAAACAAAGGACTTAAATTCATCATTATGCATACTTATTATTTATTTATGAAACTCTAATCAAAGAACATAAATCCAAAACCTCTCATTTACATCCTCTAACAATAAATAAATAAATAAAATAAAAAATAAAAAAATTACTTAAATTTTTTTTAAAAAATTAATTAACATATTTACAAATCCAAACAAGAGGAGTCTGCCTCTTCTCTTCTTTTTTCCTTCCGTTTCTTTTTCATTTCCATGAGTCCTCTTTCTTCTCCTCTCAAAAATTTCCAAACACGATTAATTTCAAGAAAAACTTGAAACCTTGCTTTAATTTTTTAATTTTTTGTGAGAAAGAAATGAAAGAAAAGAGAAGTGTTTTCAAACAACCCTTAGACTTTTATTTATCATTTTTGGAATAGCCATAGCCACCACATTTAGTTGTTTGTATAAAAAAAAAAAAAAAAAAATCTTAGGTTTATCAATAAAAAATTTCATCGTTATACCTAGAATTTTCATTTCTATTTGTTTCAACGACATAATCGCAACTAAATAAAACTTTCGCTAAAAGGCTTTTCTTTCTAATAATTTTAGTGACAAATTTTTTATTTAGTCCCTGATTTGTGATAGCATTTTTATTGCTAGTTTGAGCTATTTTTTTCGCTAGTTTGATTTAAACGAGTCATTTAGTAACTATGAAATCTATCGCAAAACCATTCGTAAGTTTTTTTTTTTTAATCACCATATGGAGACGAAAATCCATCGTAGAATTTAGTTGCTAACGAGTGGTCACAAATTCCTAGTTGATTTTCATCGCTATTGCCAATAGATTTTCTTTCCTTCGCTAATTTTCATCACTAACGAAATAATTTATTATTATTTTTTTTGTTAGTCGACTCATTGATCCATGGTAAATAAAGGAAAATTATTTTTTAAAAATTTCATTAATATCCATTTAATGTTAATTATAGTGGCAAACAACTAAAAATAAAATTATAACACAAAATATTATTGAGTATATATATATATATATATATATATATATATATATATATATATATTCACGTTTTTTTGTTGTACGAATGCATTAAAAAGCTAAAAAAAAAAAACTAATCATTATCATCATCATTTGCTCGCATTATCTTTTGAATACTAGGTATTGGATGAAAGATCGCCTCCCGGGTAGGGGGAGGGTTAGGAGAAGGGATGCGAGTTCGCATGTCCCGTAACAATTCGTTGTATAATCCGCATCTCTTATTAGAGAATATGGTATTTCGCTTTGTGTTTTTCTCCACCTCCTAGATCCGTCGAGCATAGTCATGCTCTGTATCCTCCCGGAGATGCTACCGATACTACTTATTATTCTGCTGTCGACCATGGAATCGCTATGTGGCGGAGGATTTTCTAGTGTCGAATGAAAGTAATACTCGAACACCTACCATCCACGACCATATACCCTACGTTTCCTCTCTCATGCTACAACCTTGAGACCTATCCATGTCACACTATAAAAAAAAAAAAAACAAAATAGCAATGGAATAGCAAATTTCATCGCTAAAACGACTTAGTGATGGATTTGCTATTGAAAAAATCCATCGCTAACCTTTACGACGGAATATATAATGTCCGTCGCTAACTTAGCTATAGATTATCCATCGATAATTCGTTTTATTTTGTTGCTAAGTGGCTACTCGAAATCGTCATCTTTTCACCATATAATACGTCACAATTTCATTGCAAAATTGTCTTAAATATGTTGCTAAGTAATGATAAAAAAATTATCGTTGTTATCCAATACTAAAATGGGTCGTTATTCCATCACTAACTAGTGATCTGTACTTTTTCGATTACTCGTTTTTTCAAAGAAACTTATTTTTTATCTTCATTTCCATTACTAATATTTCTTAATTTAATTTTATTTAATTTTAAAATTTTTGATATCCTTAGTAGTAACTAACAATTAAAACAAACAACTTATTATAAAAATTAATTTTTTTAAATTAAAATATTATAAACTAAATTGAAATTCATATTAAAAAATTATTCATTAGTACGTAATAAAAAGAGTAAAAACATAAAAGGAAATTTAAATGTCATTTCTCATCATGATCATTTAATTCCCTCATCTTCTTGTGACTTAATGCAAGGGACGGTGGAGTCTTGGTCGAGGGAGGGGTTAATAGGCAAGCGGGATGCTCGTGCGACTTATGTAACATCACCGTAATCAACTCAATCTAAGTCATCATCCCCTGGATCTTCATCTGCTACTCGCATGATAATGTTATTTTGCTTGTCTAACCTCACTTGTATTCCTTTCATCATCTCATCGTATTGGTCGTAAATCTTATCGGCATTATTGCTAGGGAACTGCGATGACACAAAGGACGAGCCGGCGCTAATTGAATGGGATAAATACTACAATACCTATGACCTAATCCAAGTAAATCTTCTTTTTCTCTTCTCTTACAACTTTGAGGTATATGGTGTCCGTGTTGACTTATGGCTCCTCAATACTAGCCTCTTGTTGCTTCCTAACGACTTCTCGTATCAACTCCTCAACATACTCTTGCATAATCAAAATAATTATAATATTAAAAAATAAAATAATTTTTTAGATTGTATTTGCATATGTATAATTTAAAAATTAAAAACACTTAGCATTGTTGTTTGGGCTTATAAATCTATGAAAGTCTCATCTCTCTATTTGTGAATGGCCCCAAACAACTCTAAACCCCAAACAATTTCTAATTCGAGTAGGCTCATGCCCCAATTGGACGAACTTGAAAAAAATAAACACAAATAATATGAGCTATAAATATTAATTTCTTAAATATTAAATTATATAGGATAGGATTTACCATGCAGCAAGCGTGCTTAGGAGTAGAGATGGAACCCCTTATATGCCCGAATGAGCTTGAACCAACACCATCGATCTTTGACATTTGGTTACATGATGCTCGCTCCAAATACATTTGATGATCAAGCATGGAAAAATTTTACTCGCTATGAATCCCCAACCTCCTACCGAATAAAAAAGGTAATTCATCATTCATACCATGCATATGGATGAAGTTAGAGTTGCACTTCCTAGCCAAAGCCTCCTAAGCATCTCTAACCTATACCTCGATGTGTTGGATCCCGATGAAAATACTTTTACATGAATAAAAAAATTAATATTAGTTCATTGCATGTTAAATTAATATTTTAAATATAATATAAATAAATAAGTAATATGTTATCTTAAATTCACTATAGTAGAATTGTTTAATCTACTTCAAGATGGACTTTCATACCGAGCCACCAACATCCAACTCGCTTCGATAATCATAGTTATCCTTTTAGAGCAATCTCTTTGACATTGATTGAAACTATCGAATACCATAAAAAATAAAAATGTTTAGTAATTATTTAAATGATATATTAAAATTAAAATAATTACAATATTTTAAGTAAATTACTTATCGATTATTAATGATCAAAACCTACTATTGATTAGTGGAGTCTCGAAGCTCCTTGGATCTGCGGATACATTAGTATTAGTGTAGGTGCTCAAGATCTAACCTATTTGGATGGTTTGAATATTGTATTATTGCATAATTATTAATAAAAAGTCTTTCTATTAATTCATGTTATTTACAACTTGATTGAATTAGATAGAAATCCATATGATATTCATTACTTTGATAATTGATTAATAGATGTGAGACAAATATCAATGCACTTAAATGAAATCATTAAATGTCCCAAGTCATAGCATTATCAAAATTGGACATTAATAATATACGATAAGACTTATATGTGTTATACTCTTTTTATTCGATAGCAGTAGGAGATCTTACATCTATTGATATAGGGATGCCTAAGCAAGCATACGGATGAATAACCTTAGATAACATATCACCTGGACATGACTTGATAAAAAAACACATTTGTTATAGTCTATGAGAATGCCAAATGAGATAGGTACAAACAGTCCTTTGACTTGAAGTTATCATGATTATCGTATTAGATGATTGGTGTACTTTGATATTTATTACGATAGGCTAAGTAAAGACTTGTATATGGATGATTTGTTGGGTATATCGAAATCTAAGAGAGATAGATGGATAATTGAGATAAGACATATCATTCCTTATATGCTAAAAAAGTTATCACATTGTACTTTAATAAATATCAACTCAAGAATCTATGACCACGGTGAAAGTATACCAATAGAGCATGATTGGTTTACTTCAGTTCTAAGACATTTGAAGATTAAAGAAAACTT